GGGGTTGCAAATTGGGGATTTAGACCTTGATTTGGGGTTGAATTCCAAAACTAATTATATATTTGGGTTCAGGGGTGAATGGTTTGGTCCGAACCTCGAGTTTTGACCAAGCGGGCTCGGGATCGATTTTTTACTTTTCGGGGAAAATATTGGAAAAGCTTAATTATATATTGAAATTTAATCCTTTAGCAATATTTGATGTTATTAAGTTAATTATGGCTAGATACGAGGGGTTTAGAGGCGGAATCTAGAGGAAAAGCAGTAATTGAGCAGTGAGTGGCTTGTGGATCGAGGTAAGTGTCGTGTCTAACTTTGACTCGAGGGATCAGGAACCCTTGACTTATTTGCTATGTGAAAATCCATGTGAGTGGAGTATAGGTGAGGTGACGAATACCTATGCGACGCTAATTTATTTGTTTTGCATGTTTCAGTCCCATTCTTCTTATACTGCCCTTTCATTGCCTTAACTGCTACATGCTTAATTGCTAATTTTCTCACATTATTTTTCATTGTTGAAGGTATTAACTACCCCGTAATTTTATTGTCTCATATTATTGGCTTAAGCTGGTTTATCGGTGTTTTATGGTATATTTTGGATTGGTTTTGCTGAGTAGTATTATTTGTATGAAGTTTCATAATCTACAAGCTTTCCGTTAGCTTTGGTTTGAGGTTTAATTATTGGGAAGAGTTTTGAGTTAAATTGTGAAATTTCTGTACTTATTGAGTAATTGATACTGATATGGTGGGATCGTGTTGCGTGCCGCAACAGAAGGAATAAGGGTGATATATTGAGGAGGAATAAGGTTGAAATGCTATTATACGGTGGGATCGGGTTGCACGGCGCAACATGAGGAATAAGGGTGGATTGATATGGAGTAATAAGGGTGAATATTCATATTGATATTGATATATGGTGGGATTGGGATGCGCTCCACATCAGTTTATATGTTTATGTATCTTTCTTCTACTGTGTATATTATTCTGTAGCTTTGCATTTCACTTAAGTGTTGGTTATAGCTGGATACTGATAAAACACTCGAGTTCTGTATTTATTCATTGGAGATACTGCTTTATTTTGTCATGTCCTTCTTTCTGCTTTTATTATATACTGTATGCAGGTTATATTGTAATTTCCCCACCATAGCCTCGTCACTACCTCGTCGAGGTTAGGCTCGGCACTTACCAATACATGGGGTCGGTTGTACTGATACTACGCTCTACACTTTCTATGCAGATTTTGGAGTAGGTAGTGGCTGATCGAGAGGTCAAGTGTAAATATTTTCATCTAGGAGCCCCAAGGTAGTCTTGTTGGCGTCCGCAGGCCCTGGCATCCCCTTCTATGCTCAAATATTTACTGTTTTTACTTCCCTTCATAAATAGTTGTATCTTCTTTCGAACAAATGTTTATAGCAAATCTTAGTGTGTTCGTGGATTGTGACACCGGATTCTGAGTAGTAATATCAATAGTATTGGTAATAGTATATAGATAAAGAGGCTACTTAATTAATTTTTCATTTATTTCAACTTGTTTTAGCTTGTTTATTTTTAATCACTGAAACGTAAACGAAATTGATTAATAAAACTCTAACGTTGGCTTGCCTAGCAATTGTGATGTTAGGTGCCATCATTGTCCCAATGGTGGGAATTCCGGGTCGTGACAAGTTGGTATCAAAGTACTAGATTACCTAGGTCTCACAATTTGTGAACAAGCTTAGTAGAGTCTAAGGGATCGATACAGAGACGTCAGTGCTTATCCCTAGAGGCTACAGAGCTTAGGAACAATTTCACTTCTATTCTTCTCTGTCGTGCGATTTGATCTCTTAATGCTAATTGAACTCTCTACTCTTGTTCCTTCACAGATGGCGTGAACACGTAATGCTTCATCAATTGAGCAACAGACAGAGCCCCCAGTGGCAACTCCTACGAGGGCAGAGGACAAGGTCGAGGCCATGCTAGAGGTCGTGGCAGAGGCAAGGCTCAGCCCAGAGCTTGAGTAGCAGCACCAGCGGCGGAGCCTCAGGTAGAGTTTGATGAGGAGGCTCCAGCCCAAACCGTTCCAGCATGGCCAGCTCAGGTTCTAGAGGGTTCATCACTACCCCAGTACTTCAGGATGCTTTGGTCCGTCTAGTGGGCCTCATGGAGAGTGTGGCACCGACCGACACATTTCTTGTAGCACCAGCCATCTCTCGGGCTGGGGGAGGAGTTTAGATTCCCGCTACTCACACTCCGAAGTAGATGGCTCCCCAGTTTCAGACTCCAGCAGCTCAGCCAGTTGGGGCAGTTTCGCCGGGTGTTGCAGCATAGACCGGTGATGGATCAACTATGTCTTCTGAGGCTTTGTTGAGATTGGACAAGTTCATCAATCTCTTTCCAGTTCATTACAGTGGGGTATCTTTTGAGGACCCATAAGATTATCTTGACCGCTTCCATGAGGTGCTGCGGAACATGGGGATAGTGGAGACCAATGGAGTCGATTTTGCTGTGTTCTAGATGATAGGGTCTGCCAAGAGATGGTGGAATGATTTTGTGTTGGCTAGACCAGCTGGGTTGCCTACTTTGACTTGGGACCAGTTCTCTCAGATATTTCTTGAGAAGTTCCTTCCTGTTACACTGAGAGAGGACTATCGCAAACAGTTCGAGCATCTCCAGCAGGGCAGTATGTCTGTCACTCACTACGAGACCCGCTTTATTGATTTGGCTCGTCATGCTCTCCTTATACTTCCTATCGAGAGAGAGAGAGAGGGGGGGGTGAGGAGGTTTATCGAGGAACTTGCTCAGCCTATTAGATTGCAGATGACTAAGGAGACTGGGAGTGAGATTTCTTTCCAGGATGCAGCCAATGTTGCCAGATGAGTTGAGATGGTTCTAGCTCAGGGGAGTGGTCAAGGGTCTGACAAGAGGCCACATCACTCCGGTCGATTCAGTGGGGCCTCATCTTGAGGTCGAGGTACTTTTGGTAGGGGCCATCCTCCCAGGTCGTTTCATTCAGCACTTCAGGCATCCCATGGAGCTTCATAGAGTCGTGGTCCTTATGTACCTTCTTCGGGATAGCCAGCTTATAGTGTACCACCAGCTCCTACCAGAGGACATCCTCTTCAAAGTTATTATCGCGGTCAGTCTGCTCGTCCAGGTCAGCCTCAGTTTCCATAACCACAGTAACACAATGGATGTTTCGAGTGTGGCGATTATGGGCATATCCGAAGGACCTATCCAAGATTAATAGGTGTTCCGCCATAGCAACAGGGTTCTCGTGCCATGATTCTGGCACCATACGCGCCACCGACTGCTCAGCCAGCTAGAGGTAGGAGTCAGGGAGCTAGAGGTAGAGCTCAGGCTGCTAGAGGTAGAGGTCATGCCGTTAGAGGTGGAGGCCAGGCCGCTAGAGGTAGAGGCCAGCTAGCTGGAGGCCGTCCTAGAGATATGGTTCAGAATGGTGGGGCCCAGCCCCGATGTTATGCTTTCCCAGCCAGACCTGAGGCTGATTCATTTGATGCTATTATCACAGGCATTGTTTCAG